TTTTTTTCCTGGGGGATCTGCCGAATGTGTAATGGAGTCTGAGGACGATATGCACGACGCCGACGAGGTAGCGTCCGTGGTTGAAGAGGATGATTATTACAGCGGCGGCGAAGAGGAGGACATGGATATTGAGGGAAATGATGGGGAAGATGATTATGGTGATGAGGAAGACGATGATACCGGAGATTACTTCGTGGCTAATTACTTAGACTACGATGACGATGCTATCCCTAGTCGGTCACAGGTATATAGGGAACTTGTTCTTATTACCTTTAGTTACTCCAGTTATGCGACGAGTGAGTAATTTGACTAGAATATGCTGAAAGTTGTCTTTGTTTTTGGGTTGAGGCGATTTGTGCTGAAAGTCAAGTTTTCTTTTTTTATTCTGTATTTTGTTTTTTCAGATCGTTAAAATTTGATTTGTGCATTGTGTGTACGCAAGTTTCTGAAATTTGATATCTTTTGTGTGTGTGTGTATATGCTCGCCCCCTTGTCACTATGTGTGACCTTCTGTCTATATGTGACGATTGTATGTTTGTATATTCTGTAGAAGAGCTATACCATCTTAAAAGAAGAAGATATAAAGCAACGGCAAGAAGAAGACATTACCAAAATTTCTATTGTCCTTTCAATTCCAAAGGAAGCTGCATGCATACTGTTGAGGCATTATAACTGGTAATCATGGTTCTTCATTTTTGAAGATCTGTGTCTATATGAGATTTATAGGTTTTGGGTTGACATTGCTCCAATATTGGAACTTGCATGTTGAAATTTTAAGTCAGCGTCATGTGAATAAATGCAGAGGTGATTTGTACCTTCATCCAACTGCGTTTTCTTATATTAATGATTTCACATTCTCCTTTACATAGTGAATTATTTATGCAGGAGTGTCAATAATGTGCATGAGGAATGGTTTGCCAATGAAGAAGTAGTACGTATAGCTGTTGGTTTATCAGAGAAACCACTTGTTAAGTATCCGAATTTTAAGGATGTGAGTTGCATATTCATAGACTCCCAATGTCTTCTTTAATCTTTCCATTCATACAATTCCTTTACTTATTTTTCATTTATTTTATCATGCTTTCTATATAGCAGGTTGCCTGTGGGATTTGTTTTGAGAACTACCCTTGTGATAGTCTACGTTCAGCTGCATGTGTTCATCTTTTCTGTGATGCATGCTGGAAAGGTTTGTCTGCCATGACATTTTGTGATTGATTCTTTTTGAAAAATCTAAAGAAGCTGATGCACAACATTAGTTGTATAGCAGCTATTAGTGACCTTGTTGAATCTGTTTTGCAGAACCTACCTTAAGATTAGGAGTAACACTTTTGCAAAAAGTAGTTTTTCTCCTCTGTTGCATTGGCTACGAGGCATCATTTTGCTTTTCCTCCACTTTGCATCCTTTAGGAACCAAGATTAGTGGGGGCTAAGGTGTAAAGGGGAGGATAAGACTTTCCTGTCTCGCAATTTTTCCTCTGAGGAATAATATCGGTATGGGGAATGAATATGACAGAGAAATTAAAAATTTTTGGAATGAGAATCATGAACTGTCCTTTTTTTCTAGGCAAAGGGAGGGAGGAAGTGGTAATCAATTGCGTATTTTTCTGTAGCAGCTGGACTAAATCCATTATCTTAAGCCCTTCAAGTTTGATGTATCTGTCACTGGCCTTTGTGATGGGAATGTGACTAAATCCAAATATATATCATGAACAAAGTCATGAGGCAGGGTTGCTAATAAATTACGTACTAGCTGATTAGATTAGTTGACTTATGGACAAATGACAATAGGTAATAAATTTCACTTGTTCAATCTTAAAAATGGTTTTGTGTTTATTTACTATTTAATATGAAACTCTTTTATCATGTACGTTCATGACCACAAATAGCGAGCATCAGTATTGGACACCTGCTTTGAGTTTTTACTCTGGAAACAAGTCTTGATATACCGAGTTGTGATACTATGGATTCAAGAAAAGAGATTAAGTCCATTCGTAGTCATTGATCTTGAGGCAAATATACTTAAAATAGGTGACGAAAAAGTTCACTGAGATTCCTAATTTAAAAAACAAATGTATGTGAGGAAGATATTATTCATGAATTATAAATTATGATAGGCTAAAAAATGGGAATTTTGAGAGTTTGGTTCTTAGGCTTTTTGTTTGTGAACAAAAGATTATGTCTGGCATACAACTCCGTGGGAAGAGGTGGCAGAGGCAGATGTCAAGTCGCCTCGCTGCAGTCAGAGGTGGGCGTCTTGTAGCGCCTAACAATGCCTCTCTTTCGCCAAAACCGATGCAGAGGTGTGTCTTACCCAACTGGGCCTTAATTTAAATAAAAAAAGGGTTCTTGGATCTGAAATTGGGCTCCTCTCTCGTGTGTCTAAACTACGGTTTCTCAGATTAGGGCTAGATACCTTGATAAGCTACTCGATCTAAAATTGGAAGGCCTATCGGCCGACCTATTCCTTTTTCGACCTCCAAATGGGCTGCTTTTAGAAATTGTATTGTCCTTTTTGTTTTTGTTCTACTTGATTGACGCGACGTAAACTTAATTGGGCTGCTTTTCATTTTATTTTTCTCAATATTTTCTGTTCTTAAATGGGATTTCTTGGATTCTAATTTTCTTATGTTATGTACTTGTGACTTGTGTTGTCTTCTTGGGAGATATTTGAGGTTGATTTAGCCAGTTGAACTTAAATATGTAACTCATCATCTATATTTTTTTTTTTTATATTTTGGTGTCTGTTGCCAAGGCTTCGCCCTCGCCTCGTGTCCAGGCCATGGGCGAATCGAATCACCTTGCATTGCCATTTAGAACTTTGAACAAAAATGATAATTAAGAAAGGTTTTGTCGCTCTGGATTACATTTAGTCATTGGAGATGGACATGTTTTTCGAAATCATTGAATACTGATAGTGTTGAAAACATTTCATGTAAAGTAGTTATGCAAGCAAGGACATTATGAAGTTTCTTTTGCATACCTGATCCATTGAGTTAATATTGACAGTAAGTGGATGTTACATGTGTGTTTCCCTCTTGTTTTCTTACATATTAATTCAGAACAAGCTGCAGAATGCAGTATCAATCACTACTGTGTACCTTTCCCTTCAATAAAGTACCTTCATTTGCTCATAATCAAGAAATTTACCGACTATAGTTAAAGCAATGATATCATCGAATTTCCAGTCCTACTTTGTTAATCATTTTTCATATCTTTTACTAGAACAACAATTCTAAAATGATTTAGTTGAAAGTGAAAATTTGTAATGAGGACAACATTTAGTTGAAAGTTGAAACCTCAATGAATTAGAATTATTATTATTATTATAAATCTCTTTCCTCTATAGTTTACCATTTTGTTAATATGACGTTAAATGAGAGTTTGATTAGATTTTACAGCATTTTTAAAAATTTTCAACATGTACAAGGTATTGCTTATCTCTTCCAGTTCCTTATTTTAATCAAGTCTTTTACGTTTAGTTATTTAGGGTTACAATACATTGGCGCAACAGCTTTTGTTGGAAAAGTCGTCTGTTTTTACTTAAGTTATAGGATTGTCTTGTGGGGGCATCAAAAGACCATTAAGATTCTGCTGCATATTATGTTTGGCTGGAAGTCATCTTCCTGAGGAAAATCGCTGCTTACAACTCTGGTTTTTGTTTTTTTCTAAAACATAACTATGAATAAATGGCCATTTATATAATTTACTGTTTTAGAAAAACTGTCAAGTATCCCATCTTTACTGCGTTATGGAGTCTCAACTCCCAATATCATTCTGAAGCATTAGATTTTTATGAATTAGACAGCACATAATTGGGATGTGCCTGATTACTTACATGTGGCTACTAGTTATTTTTTCAATTTAAATTCCCTTGTGCCACTTTCATAGGTAAGGGAAACCCATTAGTTCCCAATGAATGACCTTTTGAAGAGAAGCGATGTATTGTCATTGAGAAACTGAGTATTAGAGGGACTGGAATGGTACTTCTATCATCGAACAAATGATTGCTTAATATCTAACAAGTAACAAACCATTGTTTCACCACTAATCTCTGAAAGACTCCTATCTAAGCCCTTCTCTTTTGGCCTCTACTTCTTAATGTTACTTCAATCATGGATTTGACCATAATAAGCTGATTCTTCCTTGTAACTACATGCCTTGATGTTTTTAAGATCTCGTATAGGCTTTTATGAAGATGGACTGAAAATGGGCCTTTATGTGCTTGTAAAATATCTTTTAGGCCTTGACCGATGCCGCAGTTGGTATAAGAACCGAGGTAGTCATTTATACGGACCAATTTAATAGCAATATATCTTCCATCCATCCAAAACTTTGATGAAAAATCATGCTGAAGGAGCATAAGTGAACCCGTAATTAGTTTATGAATCATAGTGTCTAGAAGCTGATAGTTTTGTCGGGGCCAATTTTGTAAGATTGCTTATTCTTACTGTCTGCCCTCACATTCCTACATGAGGGAGCAAAAACTTAAATCTAATTGATCTATTCATCCCGTCTCTATTCTAGCTTACATTAGCACATCTGTCAATGATGGTCCTGGATGCTTGACGCTGAGGTGTCCTGATCCATCCTGTGGTGCTGCTGTTGGCCAAGATATGATCAATAAGTTGGCCTGTGATGAAGACAAGGAAAAGTATTGTCGTTATCTTCTTAGATCATATGTTGAGGACAGCCGTAAGGTATGCCTTTTGTTTACCAGATCAGCTGCTTTCTTTTATTTATTTATTTATATATTTTTTGAATCTACAGATCATTTTAAGTATAGATTACCCTTTCGTCTGAATCAAGGAGGTGAAATTGTTTTCCCTTGTACCATAGTTGTGTTTGCTTCTAATACTTGTCAATGTTCACATGAGTTGCTAAATGCAAGACATATGAGCATCCATACATGTAGACAGGTAGTTTCATTATATGTGTATATAATTTGGCTTCATTGTTTTTACATATAGTTCATGAGACACTATGTAAGGGACCAATCTCCTTGTATGGATCTTGTTTTGGTTTAGTCTCTTCCATTATTGGTGCTGATTCTTTTAGTAGTATTCTATTACTGCTATTATAATCGACATTGCGAAACTGTGTTTGATAAACTGAAAGGATTAGTCACATTTTTGTTGTCTTTGTCCAGTCTTCTTTTCCGCCTACTTTTTCCTTCCTGAAACAATAGGAATGTTCTTTGCTGTTTCTGAAGTTATCCATATCAGTGGGAGGTTTTTGACGATGAGCTGCTGTTGTGTTGGTTACTTGGTTCAGTGTTGATTTTTTTTTTTAAAGTAGGGCATACAAGCTACTTAAAGATAGAAGAAAACAAAACCGGAAGAGAGTCCTTCCAATAATAGGAAGAATGTGAAGCAATCACCCAATTAGCTATATTATTGGCCACAACGTTGTCCTTCCGTGAGACATGGGAACACGACCTGCTTAAAAGATCTCTGATATTCGTAAACACCTCAAAGAGAGGGTCCAAATCCTCCGAGATAGTAATGCTGCATACGACTTCCAAGGAGTCCGTCAGCACAACCTTTGAGTCTGAGTCCAGTGCAAAACGGAGACCGTGTTAGAGCGCTAGCGCTTCCGCTAATAAAGGAGAAATGAGCTCTCGATGCAAGTAGCGAAGGCTGCCTTACATACGCCGTCTTTATCACGAAATCAGCCACCTAAATCGATTTTGGACTCGCGGACCGCCGCATCGCAAAGAATTAGTACAAGTACCCCCGCTTTTCCAACTAGAAAGCAAATCCCGACAGGAAAGTCGCCTGATTGAGCACTATCGAATTCTTTTAACCAAGATATCCCAAAATTCCTAACCCATTCTGGACTTCTTGCCTTGAAGTTTTTACGGAGGCGATTACGCTCCTGCCAAATAAGCCACAAGCTAATTGCATAAGTCCTAAAATCAGCACCACAATCTCCATTTAGGATAGCCAAAGCTAGGGAGATAAATCCCATTTCCGAAGACTAGAGATAACATCCCACCATCCTGCGAATTTCCATAATTTCCTTGCCCAGTCGCATTCAAAGAAAAGATGATTATTCGATTTCCAACAACCGGACCCGCAAACACCGATCCAAAACTATGTCTCCGAGCGGATTTTTCTCAGGATGGGATGGCTGAGGAGATGATACTTCCAGTGGAATAACTTTATTTTAGGGGGAAGTCGAAATTTCCAAAGCGCTTTCCACCAGGTCGTATTTGGATTTGAACTCGAAGCCGAAGAATCCCCTTGTAAGCTTTTGAAGAGATGATAGCTTCTACGCACCGAGTATTTGCCGTTCCCGTAAAATGCCAGAATTTCCACTTAATGGAATAAATATTATTTTGATTGCGTCAATGGGCAGAAAAAGTTGGCGAACAAGATCATTTTGCCAAGACCCCGTTGATGCCGATAAGGTCCTGGATGCACTCCTGCCCACGCGCTCCAGCCCACGCACAGGCTGGGAAAGTGGCCTGAACAAAAAAATATGAGGGATGCGGTATAAATCTTAACTTTGGAGCCATCCCCAATCCTTCAGTGTATGCCCGCTTTAACGACTTTACGTCCCCACAGAAGACACTTCCATAGATAAGTAAAATTAGATCGAACTGTGGAGTCAAGAAAATCATCGTTGTGAAAGTATTTGGCCTTAAGCATTCGAGCAACCAAGGAAAAGAGACGATTTAAGATATTCAGGCTTGTTTGCCCAGCAACGATTTATTAAAAAACTGCACATCCGTGAATCCCAGACCTCCATTAATTTTGGATTCAGACATTTTCCTCCAAGATATCCAGGCTTATTTACGTTCACGATCCCGGGCACCCCACCAAAATTGACGGACCAGCCTCTTGATTTGATCACAAATGAAACCGAAAAAGGCTCATCAAATAAGTAGGAATTGCTTTGATCACAACCTTTATTAAAGTTTCATGACCCCCGACAGAAAACCAATATCGGTGCCATCCTTGAAGTCTTTTCCAGATCTTATCATGCAAAGGTTCAAATTGTATCCTGACCCACCAAGGATGGGATGCCTAGATAGGTATCTAGGTTCAATGTTGATTTTTGGACAGTGATAATTTTTATTTAAAAAAAAGCAATTCCTAGTACCACTGAGGCTTGGTATTCTTTGCAATTCGATAGAAGAAGTCATGAGCTGAACTTTGATTTGACATCTATATGTACAAATTTTCCAGTCAATTGGTATAATATCGGAAGTTTTGATATAAAATGATCTTTGTTTGAATAACAGGCCCTTGAGCTTTGGCATGTCTCCATCACATCCTTGTGATCCATCCTATTCCACATTAGTAATGTATATTTAATAATTGGAATGAGACAATAAAAAATGATTTAAAATATTTAAATTTGAATGAGGATATGTGCTTTGATTGAACACGATGGCAACATGCGATCCATATAGCCGACCCCCTTAGTGTGATTTTAACGGCTGGTTGATTGATTGATTTAGTAATTTTATGCAGATTAAATGGTGTCCTGCCCCTGGTTGTGATTCTGCTGTTGAATACGTTGTTGGTAGTGGGAGTTATGATGTCTCTTGCAGTTGTTCATATGGCTTCTGCTGGAATGTGAGCGTGTTATGAACTTGAATGTCTATTTATTTATTTATGTATGATGAGATTCTCATGTTTATTCTAAGCCGGTGATACAATCAGTGTACTGAGGAAGCTCATCGGCCAGTGGACTGTGAAACTGTGAAAAAGTGGATTTTAAAAAATAGTGCCGAGTCAGAAAACATGAACTGGTAAATACTTGTCTCGCAGTCTGTTTGCTTCTACGTTTAGTTATTGAATTGCTCACTGCAAAATTGGCGACTAGTAGTTTGCTTCTGGTACAATTGTATTAAATTCAACTAGGTCTACCGTTTAGTTTTGTTACACTAAATATTCACTATCACAAACTGTATGTATGGAGTTCAACCGTTCTGATTGTTGGATGTTTTTCTAAATGAAGAGGTAAAACTTTCGCATAATCATTATTATTCCCCTGAAGATGTGATGGAGCGGTATCAAAATGGGCATGGAAAAATATTAGCATATTTATTGAGATAATCCTGTTTTGAAGTGATAAATCAAGGATACTCGTTGATCTTCTTACAGAGCGGAATGATTTTGAATATCAATTTTTTATTTAGTTCTTTACTTGATGCCTTATGTTGAAGATGAGATGTTTCAACAACGTGGGGCTCTGTCATACATAATGATGACAGAGGGAAAAAAATAAAAAGGAAAAATATTTATTTTTTAAATAATTCTACTTCACAAATAAAAAGTTTCTTCTTGTATCTATGTATGTAATGTTAGGGATTTTGCTTGCTGAAAAATTTCCTTAAATGTCAATGAAAATTAAGAAAAATACATATGCCATCCCCTTACTTTTATGAAGCACCCCCCAAGATAATTTGGACAACAATCACCATGTTGGTAGACGATAATGACCAAAGAATTACGATATGACATGACTGATACTTCTGCTCCAATATTGCACATATGTATTCATTTTCAAGTGCATAGTGAGTGCTCATGTAATGTCACTGCAGAGTAGCTGATGCAGTATGCTTCCATGTTTCCATTTTGGAGTAGTCTATTTTATGTCCAGAATGGTTCTTCCTTAAGATGGTGTAAATTTCTGGGCAATGTCCGTGTTGGTAGACAAACCAATCTATTTTCATGTCAAAACTTAAGAGGAACTTACTATATCGAATACGCTGTAGCTTTTCAGTTAGAGCAGGTCTAGAATTTCTCAACTTGGTGTGAACTTGGTGAGTCATGTTATAATGCATGGCTAAACTACTACTCTTTGTGATAATAGGATATTGGCCAACTCCAAGCCTTGTCCGAAGTGCAAGCGTCCTATTGAGAAAAATCAAGGCTGCATGCATATGACTTGCACACCACCATGCAAGTTTGAATTTTGCTGGTATCCCTTTGTACTCTCGTATTTCTGCCACAAAGTGCCCCATGGGAAAAAAAAGAATTCCAGTTGCTATGCTGAATATTTTTCCAGTTTTTTTTTCCTTCTCCCCTAGAGGTTGCTTCCTCGTGAACTTTATTGACATTGGTCCGTTGACTATTTCACAGGTTATGCCTTGGTGTTTGGTCAGACCATGGCGAGAGGACTGGTGGATTTTATGCTTGCAACCGATATGAAGCGGCGAAACAAGAGGGAGTGGTGTGTAATGAGGGAATTTAAGTTAACAAGTTCTTCTTTCAGCCATCATTGTTCTAGTTTATCATTTCTAAATACAATGATATGAATCTACTTCTCTTATTAATTCCATTATTCATCCAGTATGATGAAGCTGAGAGGAGGAGAGAGATGGCCAAGAACTCTTTGGAAAGATATACTCATTATTATGAGCGATGGGCTTCCAACCAATCGGTATGGGACTTGACTGCTACAGTTTCTATTAAATGCAGCATTTTTTTTCCATATGTCTGTTCATTTCCACCTCATGGACTGTTCGTGAAGTTCGATGTATATCTTGATTGCCGGGAAGTGATTGTCAATTTAAAGGATTTTAGTTTTGTTGGAAACTGATTTTTGGGCATAGAGGACAGACATTGCGGAGAGCAACTGTTCATGTACTAGTTTGGTTCTGTTGATTGAAGCGATATAATAGTATATTTAATGATATAAAATGTCAACAAGGTATATGAGTTTAGGATAGCTTGGTGGCACAGAGGGAAATAACAAGTTCAAGATACTTTTCTGTTTCCAGTTTGGTCAGATTGTAATCTAGCTGTACGGTATGTTTGCATGGAGTTCACTTAGTGTCCTGTGGATGTATTTTTCTCAACTTGTGATTTTTATCTTCTGTTTTCAACCTAAAAAAAATAAATTAATTAAATCAAGCACAAGCACGAGTAGAGATGAGTCAAGTAGCAGTAGAACCTTATGTCGAGCTGATCTTGACTGAGAATGATTTATTTTGTCAAGTACTGCATCCCCTCCGAAATTTATGGAATAAAGAAAAGTGTAAGTGGACTCTTGAGTGTGTATCATGTCATCATAATAGTGGTGTGGCCTTGGGGCATGCTGTTTTTATGGCAGTGAGTTCTTCCTTTTTTCCCATTTTTATCTGTTTTTTAACATTCATATAACCTGTATCGTTTTGCAAATTTAATGCAGTCAAGGCAAAAAGCCCTAGCTGATTTACATCAGATGCAAAGTACACATGTAAGGTCTTCTAGCTGTACATTTAAATGTTAATGCCGAATGTTATGTTACTGTGTGTTGTAGTTATGAATTTTTCATTTTTGTACTGTTCCCCAATGACGAACCTGCAAAACGGTCACTCCGCTAAACTTGTTTGGACAAGATCATTTAACAAAGGGTTTTAACCCTTAGCACCGTTGCAGAACAAGCACATGAAGTCACAAATATTTAGTATTATTTGGGTCATTATATAGGAGTGTTCTCTTGTTTTACCATAATAAGCACAGGGTTTATTGTTGAATAGACAGTCCTTTATTTGTATCCTTGAGATAACTATTAGAGGATGATATTTTGGAGTTGCTGGGTGAATACTTATGTGAAGAACAAG